GCGGCCCCCCCTCTCTGTCCCTGTCCCCCTCCCCTCTGCGCTCTTCGTCCTTGCTTGTCTCTCTCTCGGATCAGAGAGAACCAGAGGCCGTGAGTAACCGAACCCCCACATTTTGGTGCTCTTCTTGCCCCATCACGCCCCTCCCCCCGGGAGGCAGGGACGCTCCTGGGTCTGAGACCATCTGTGCACGCGTGCGTGTCCCCAGCTGCGCATCTGGTTGTCTGATCGTGCCTGGGCGTGTGTGTGTGTGTGTGTGTGTGTGTGTGTGCACACGCGTGCGCGCGCTCGTGCAAGCTCCTGGGACTGTCACTGTGTCCTGCCCGGTTTTGACCTCTGCCTTCTAGAAGGGTCTTAGCCTGAAGGCTTCTCAACTGTCCTCAGGGAATTTGTGGCATCTTCGAAATTGAGGACGGAGGATGCGACTGGTTCCAAAGATGTCCAAGAGGAGGTTCGCAGCTTTTATCTGCTTCCTGGAGGAGGCGGCCTTTGACACTGGTGTTCTAATGAGGTAAAGAAGAGCCATGTGACAAAATGCACTGAGCCCGTACTGTGTGCCAGGCCGTGCTCTGTGTGCCAGGCCGTGCTCTGGGGACGTGGCAGGGAGCAAAAGACAAACCTCCTGGCCAAGCGATGCTCGCAAAAATCTACCCGGGATGGGGTCGGGGAGAGAGGCTAGTCAAGTAAATGAATGTATAAGTATTTAAAAAATGCTCGGAGGTGACACTTGATCTGAAACAAAGCGCAGTAAGGACGGACGGGAGGTGGGGATGATGTGTATACGTGGGGGGCGGGAAAAGCCCTCAGAGGGGGTGACATCTGAGCAGAGGCCTGAAGCAAGTGAGAGGGCCATGTGGATCTCTGGGGAAGAGCATCCCGGGCAGGGAACAGCAGGTGCAAAGGCCCTGGGGTAGCCATGTGCCTGTGTGTTCCTGGAACAGTGAGGGGGCCAGGGACGGCAGGACAGGGCAAGGGGAGGCTTCTTCTACACTAGGGTCTTTATCCTCTGCGGCCCTCGGATTCCTAGGGAGTGTGCGGATGGTGTCAGGACACCCGTGAGCTCCCTGCAGTTTAATGGCAACTGCGGGCTTGGCGTTTGTGTGTTTTCCCCGCCACAGAGATGGCCCATCATTTTCATCTTATTTTCACAAAAGGATGCTCAACCCCCCAAAAAGTATAAATCATCACTCCAGAGGGATAACGCCAAAGAGAAGTGAGAGGTCCAGAAAGAAGGAAGGAGAAAGTCTCGGGAGAAGGGACAGAGAGCCAGAGAGGCAGAGGCTGAGAGAGCGGGCTGGAGGCCTGGGCCGCCCCGCTGGGCTCTCTAAGGGTATTTTTACGACCTCGTAAACAGCTCAACTGTTTTTCCTTCATCCTCTCATCTTGTGGAAATTAAGCCTGGGGCAGGGGTGGGGGCAGGGGTGAGACCCCTGGAGCTGCGGCCTGGGGGGTAGGGGTCAGGACAGCACGTCCCAGTGGGGGCTCCCTCGGACGCTGCCAGGCCGACTTCTCCGCGGAGGGTTCAGCCTCCGCTCGGGCCTCCCCAGCGTCTCCGTCCGCCCGCACGCCTCAGTCTCTCACCCTCACTCCCTTCGCATCCCCCTGGATCTTTCCCGGTCCTTTTCCTGTCACGGTTCCCGACTGTGCCTTCTGACCGCCCTCAGCATCCCGTCCACCCGCTCCCTGGCTTCCTCCGGGAACCGTGGCCTGGACCCACCTCAGACGGACCCTTCCCTGTCTGAGCCTCGGTGTCTCCACCTGCTGGATGAGCAGCGGGCCAGGCTGTGGGGGACGATGGGGACCCGTTAGACTAGAGGGTGCCAGGACTGCCCAGAAGTCAGGCATGCAGTTGCCCCCCAGATGACGCTGGCCCTTTAAGGAAGACTGGGGGCGGGAAAGGGACAACTCCAACCACTGCCACACGCACCCCTTCCCCCGGATAGGGGTTTTGGAGCAGAAAATTAATTTAAATCATTTTTTAATTAAAGATGCAAAGCTCTCTGTGTAACCCCCCCCCCGCCCCCAATGGCCCTCTGCCGAGGTTCAGGGTGGAGGACCCGGGGTCTGGGCCCCCAGCCTCGCTTTGTGTCTTGGGGGGCATGCTGAGGTCCCCTTGCCCAAGCTGATTCTGAAAACTAGGAGTGTGGCCTGAGGGACAGTCCCAGTGGGGGTCGAGTGGACAGAGGGACAGCTATGATTGTATCTTAACTGGGTGGACGTCCAGTGAGGCCACTGAGGGGTGTGATTCAGGGAAAGGAGCGCAGAGGGGTCTTCCGGCCTGAGGAGCAGGGGGAGGGGCTTGGGCTCCCGGGCATAGATCTTTTTAATTAGAGAGGAGCGAGATGTTGGCGAGGGGAATGAGTGTCTGGGAGACAAACTGGGGGGAAAGGCGAGGGCCTGGAAGAGGAGGGGCTGCCCGGTCCTCACTCCCGCACCCCAGTCTGTGTGTGTGTGTCACACACACACACACACACACACACACACACACACACACCTGTCCCATCTCTCTCTGACTTCAGGCCCCCTCTGCCGAGCTGTCTCCCTTCGGTGGGCCTCAGACCTGGAGCCTCGCGTCCCAGGAAAGGGCACCAGCGGGGGCCAGGCCTGGGTCCTGGCGGGTGCCTGATGCTCGCTGACCCCGGTGTGGCTGCGTCTGTGAGGGTGACGTCCGGGTTCCTGAGTGCCAGCATCTGAAAGTGTCTTAACGGCACATGTGCTCTCTCTCTGGGTGTGTGTGCGTGTCAGCGTGGGCACAGATTCCCAGGGGAGTACTGGCCCAGGGAGGGGGCCCGCCCCTCAGCCCCAGCCTGGCCCCGTTTCACAGATGGGAAGGCCCTCCAGGTCTCCCCAGCACAGGCTTCCTCCCAACTTGGCTGCGGACCTCTGGGTGGCCTGGGCAGGACCCTCTCGCTCACCTCAGCACCCCACCCCCCACCCGAGCACTGACCACTGGGGCTGCGCCGACCAGATGGCCCCCTTCCCCGGGACCCCCGGGGATCCCCAAGACCTGCTGTCAGAGGTCGCGGGAGCGCAGGGCTCAGGGCCCCCTCCTCTCTCACCCTTGGTCCTGCCCGCTCTTGCCTCAGTTTCCCCTCTTTATCGTCAGCTCTGTGTTTGTCTCTCCATCTCTTCCCCTCCTTGGGGAGCCCTCCTCCCTCGGTCCCAGGCTCTCTAAGGGTCTTTAACTCTGCTCAAGGTGGGGGGTAAAGGAATTCTAGACGAGGGATCCTTTGTGTCTGTCTGCCGTCTCACGCGTCTCTCCCGCCTTCTTCCATCTCTGTGTCTCTCTTTCTCCCAACACTCTCTGGTGTTCTCTGTCTCTGTGTCTCTCTCTAGCTCTCATTCTCGCTCTCACTCTCGGTCTCTCCCTCTTCCTCGGCCCCCGCTCCATCTCTGGGGACCTCTGTCTCTCCGCCTTTGTGTCCCCGCCTCTCTCTGCCCATGCCCCCGTGTCCCTGGATTTCTGCGTTCCTGTCTCTGTCCCTCGCTGCCCCATCCCTCTGCCCAGCCTTCTCTTAGATGCTTTGCCTCGAATCCCCAGTTCCTCCCCCAGCCTGGCCTGGCTCCAGGAGGAGGAAACATTTATCTTGGTGGGGCACCCCCGCCCCACGCCCGCCCCTCTACCCGCCTCCCGGGCCCATCCATCACTGGAGCCGGCG